AAACTGATTGCGACTTAATATTATAAATATCCTCCTCTGACTCACCTATAGCTCCGTTGATACTGGGACTGCGTACTGCTCGACTACTCGTTCTTGATTCTGTAGAATAACCCGCTCCATCAGCTCGATCATATCGACTGCTAGAGGACTCAGTTTGACTACAAAATGGCGTCATCTAAGTAACTTTTTGATCACCTTGGTCTATCTCGTCGGCCGTTATCCATGTTTATGGGGATATAGACAACTTGCCCGTTTTCTGTGTATGACCTAAAAACGTTCACGATCAATTTGTAATTTTTATAAAGAAAAGAATTATTGTCTTCCAACGCGGAAGAAGGTCTTCCCACAAAACTACTGAAAGAACGCCCACACCGCGGTTGATGACATAAATCCATGGCAAAGCTCAAGATTCACTGACCTTGAGTCGTAGTCTGGGCGCGACGTTGGGCTCGGTGACATCAATCGTGACGGTGACTGCGACCGAATTATGGACTGAATGAGATGAATGTCTTATAAGGTTTTCGGAAGTAATTCTTCGTAATATAACCTGTCTGGTGTGTGAATGTGGATCTGGTGTGATCGCCCTCTTTGGAACTACACTGGAGACGACAGGCTGTGATGGAAACAGATAGCTGAAGCCTGCATGAGGCATTTGAGCTTCAACAATCGGTGGTTCGGCGAAACGAGCTCGAGGTGACGCTGGACTGGCATAGCGCGCTCGTGGTGGTGATGAGTCCGTTTGTAGCCTAAACAATCCGACATTGATGACTGGATGGGGGCGATTAGGAGCAAGAGTGGCGAAAAATCCAGGTAAGCGGTGCAAGGGCGCAAATCAGTTGTCAGTTTTGCTTTATACAGTACAAAGCAAAGAGAGGCGCTGTTCGGCTTGGGGAGGCTGGGAGGTTGCATTTTCCACCTCCTCTACTTCCCATTCAGGGCACATCATGGCTGGGGATTCCCCAAGAGAGCGTCGTATTCCGTGGCTGGCGGAAAGGGGCGATCGTATTTGCCTTCAGAGAGAAATTTGCGGCGATGGGAAGAATTTGCCCCTCCTCCCCGCTCGACAGCAAGCTTTCGGGAAAGTGTAGGAGAATCTTCGGGAAGTTCTGGAGAAACTGGAAAAAGGGGTAGGACGGGATTCTGGCCAACTTCCAGAAACGGTCTCGATTTTGAGCCAATCCAAAAACGCTGTCATATGCAAAAATGTCAACTTCAAACGAGGAAAAAAATCTGTCCAGCTGACGAAGAGGCGTCAAAACTTTCATTAAAACTAACGGCTCAGTTGCAAATACCTTAAAGACACATTGTACGATCACACATAGTTTGGAAGTGCGTGACTATCAGCCCCCCAGCTGTCGGAGCGTTGCGGTTTTCCGCCCGCCCGAACATGCCCAGTAATCGGGATCCAGGACTGTGGGACACGCTAATTTTTCAATGCTCCGCCTAAAATGCAATTGCGGTATAGACTCCCGATCCCCAATCCGATTATTCTAACATCCATCCGCGCGGCCCATGTCGCGCGCGGCGCTCTGGCACTCTGCAAGTCGGTAATTGCCGCTTTGCGAACCCAATTAAAACGCCAAACTCTTGAAGCGGATAACGTTCGAAGTGTTATACATGCTGCAAAGTTCAAATCGAATGATGAAGATGATAAAGGCTGAAGAACAACGAATGTAGAGTAAATTAAAATAAAAATAAAAAAATTCAACAATTTAGCTGTTTCCGGCCTCCAAAGCAACTCTAAATCTAACGAGTGGGAGCGCCTTAATAAGCCGTTTTTATTTTCATGTCTTGTGGGCATGCGCGGGCCTTCCGGGAGATTGCAGGACAGTCCACAGTTTGCACATGAGCTTTGCCCTGGTGCATCATCTTCGAATCGAATTTAGCCTGCATGAGCACACCTCAATTGTTATCCGCCATCAGGAGTTTTGCGTTTTAAAGTGAATTTCCAAAAGCCAAAAACTAACGAGACTTGGCAAAGTGTCAGCCGAGCCTGCGCTGCCGACACGCTTACCGGCGCCTGTGTGGACGGCTGTTAGTTAGCAACGGGATCGGTGTGGCTTTGGAGTCCGGAATCGCCCGCCGAATCGACAGGAAATTTACACGCGATTCCATTAATTTGTATTTCCTCGATTTTTTCAATTTTGTTTTATTTACATCTACATTCGTTGTTCTTCATTTCTAGCCTTTGTCATCTTCATCACCTTCTATTCGGACTTTGCAGCATGAGCAACACCTCAAATGTTATCCGCATCAGGAAATTGCGTTTTACTTGTATTCCAAAGCACATATCACAATACTTGGCAAAGCTGCCAAGAGCTCGGCGAGGCGACACGCGCCGCCGCGGATGGCTGTGTAGAATAATCGGGTTGGGATCGGAGTCTACGCCGCAAGTTCATCAGGCGGCGGAGCATGGGAGAATTAGCGTGTCCCATGGTCCCGAATCTCCATTCCTGCGAATGTTCGGAAACCGCTACGTTTCGAATGCTGGGGGGCTGATAGTCACGCACACCCAAACTATGTGTGATTGTACAATGTGTCTTTGGAGTAGACGTCCCGTCCCGCATACCCACTAGTTCAGAGTTTTCACTGTTACCACGTGAGATTGAATGTTGACGTCAATAGAGAGTGACGTAGCGACTTCGCTGTGAGTGCACGGTTCCAGCCCACTTCACTGTCGCAATGTTGTAGTGGGCTTAATTTTAGCGCTCTTTGCTTCACACACTTTGACCCCATAGAAGTATATATAAAACAAGCTGCTTCAATTGCCTCAGTTCTGAAATAGAGTATATAGAAAATACCTTGAGTCATGTCTTGTAGGAGAATATGGCGGTGAAGAAGCCCTTCTGGTCAAAGTTCGACTTTGAGCACTGAGCTGATGACGGATCGAGCGAATAATTCGACGTGCCAATGTGATGTTGCTAGTTGGAGCATCATCACGAGATGATAGAGCTATGAACGCTGTAAAAAAACATTATTTGGAAATGTTGGAGGAAGAAATAAGATTACAGCCAACGCATCTGCCACTGCATTTCTGCGGGTCAAAGCAAATGGGTCAATTGATATTCCGGATAGGATCACTCATAGGGCAATGCGTCAAGATTTTTGACTCCATGCGTAGTTGCCTCACGATGCGTCCGACTACTAAGAAAGAAAATTTAGAAAAATGCGAAAAAATTGGAAAGTTTCTGTGAAATGTTCAATGTCTTGTCTTCTTTTCGGCATACATGCTGTAGGCAGGGGTTTGTGGTTTCAATATACCATTTTCATTCCAAATCCTACATTTTTCAAACCAATCGGACATTTTTTAAACCAATCGGACCCTTTTGCAATCAAATCGGACACACTCCTTACATCGGATAGTTTGTTAACTAGACCACCCTTGGTACTGCCGCAAGACCCGTCCCTACACCCCGCCACCTTCTCAGTGCGGTCATGGTTCTTAAATAAGCATTTTTATGAACCTGCTCCCCTGACTTTTGCACTTCGCCTATTTCGCACAAACACTTTAACTAAAGGCTTGGTATCGGCACAAGCACGACCCGCCTACTTTTTTAGTAAGATAACGCAAGTTTATCCAATTCTTATAACTTTTTTCGACGTCGTTCTTTTCACATCCGTCCTCCACAAAAGCGGAATGTCGACTCACAGACAGGGTACAGCATCCTTGTGTGAAAGCACATGGGGGGGGGGGGTCGTACTTTTGCTCTGGGGAGGGGGGTCGTATTTGGGGTAAGACAAATTTATTTTGATAGTTGATTTTTTCTTGTGGAAAAAGGGGGGGGTCGTATTAATTCGTATTAATTTTTGTGTTATATGCACCCTGTACACCCGCCGGATATACGTTGCATAGTTATTATATACCCTCATCGCTCGTCAGTCGGCGAGAGACAGGGCACATCGTTGGTTGGGGAATCCCCAACAGGGGGGTCGTATTTGGCCGCCAGGAGAGGGGGGGTCGTAGTGAGTGCGGCAGCCAGTAACGAGCAGCGCAAATTGTCAATGTGCTGAGTCCTGTACAACGAAACTTGCTTTGTAGAGAACTCGGATATGCAAAAATAGTACAAAACTTTCATTCATCAAACTAATCCGAAATAACTGCAAATATTAATAAGTCGACATTATCTCGTAAGTCCGTTGGTGACTAAACAGTACAACTCAAACTCTGGTTCGCTGCCAATGATATGGCGTGTCCGCGGTCGCGCTTGGCGCTGAGCCAACCTGTTTTTCTCGACAAGCGACAGGACTACCATATCGTTCATATCAGACGTTTTCCAGCAGTTGGTCTCCTTTATCGGAGTCAGCGATTGGCAGAGCACGAATCTGGCAGCGTTGACAGGGACATGTTCCATCATACGCAACGGAAAACACTGTAAACAAGTGCACAGATAAAAACGCTCGCCGATGGACCTTCTCAAGCCTTATAGGACACATTGCTCGCGTGAACAGACATTACGCGACAGGGTTGCACCACAATCCATCACTCTGGCGTCGCCTCAGTGCGCGGCGCATCCAAAGTTGGCGTGATCGGCGCTAAACGAACCATATCCTGCTCCTGCTCCACCACAGGATACGTTCTACATGCGTTCCTGGCTATTCGAACACGCTCACTTGAAACGGTACACAGGAAACGGGTTTTTCGCGCAGCTGGGAGTGTTCCCAAGAAATCCCCATAGCGAGATCTCATGAATCCCGAGAACTTCAGAAACAGCTCAAGAGGTTTTTAGAAAGAGAAAATCTTTAAACACTCGAAACCGTTCTCAGATTTGTGAAATGTTGAGTTACAAAAAAAAATATTATGCATTTCAAAACCTGTTCGTTGATTGAAAATTCACTCCCCAACGAATCCCTATGGCAGATTTCTCTGTGATTTTTGCGACGTTCATAAACGTTTTAGTACTTTTAGGAAGTGCAAACCTTCCTCTACACGAGTACGGTCTCCTCTTCCCCACAGGTCCGCTTTTGAGGAAGTTATGGTCCTTCAAAGACACCTACCTCAGCTGGAAATTCTCGCTCCATGGCTAAAATTGCCGAATAATCTCCAGTCACAGCTGCAATTACATGCGCATTCTGCTACCGTACTCCACATAATCGGGGTAATGCATTTTTACGGCGGTTTGTATAACTGTTACGTAGTGAGACAAGCCTAACTTTCTCTTTTCCTCGTCCTCAATCTTGGGAATAGACGTTGTTAACACTGTGGTCGCTGATGGCCGCTCCCAGAGAGGGAGTCCACCTCAGGTTAACGAATGCTCATTGAATTTAATCGCGATACATCGTTATTATTACCATGTGTGTTTCAAAACGGCCATCGAAGAAGTTCATCATACGAGTTTCTCATAATACGATTGTACCGTTTTTTGTTTGCAATCATCTCTGTATTGTTCTATTATGTCATGACTTCAAGTCGTCCATTTAGTATGGGCACCTTCATACAAGTAGAATTTCATAGTGGGCGTTTCATAGTTTCATTTAAGGCGAAAAAAACCGAACGGCAAAAAAAGGGGGGGGGGTCGTACCGAACCCCCAAAAAAAGGGGGGGGGTCGTACAGGCTCGACCAAAATCCCCATCGAATGCTGTGCCCTGGCCGAAAAGAGCAGGTTCAGCTGAGCGGAGGGGGGGGGTCGTACCAACGGGGAAAAAAAAAGGGGGGGTCGTGGCGTGGACCCCATTCGGAGGGGGTCGTACTCACACCGACATTTCGCCTATCCCTATGCTGTACCCGCTCATAGATGTTCATCGTACAAGCACATTGAGCTCGCCCTGACCACGCCCAGTTTTGCGCCTATTTTTGAATTTTGAATCCGTCTCGGGAATTTTGCCTTTTTGGGGTGTAACAGGCAGCCCCACCCCTACTGGAAGCGCAACCCACCATACAGGAGCTTCGCACTTTTGAAAGAACGGCCAGATCGCAGGGTAGATTGACTGGCAGGTAATGGTCTCCCCCGTCACCCGGAACGAAAAATAAGGGAATGTTCATTTCCATAGTCCTTTCGCATTCTCTCAGAATTTATTACTTATTGAACCGGCTTGGCTCTTCCCTCTCTGTCCCGATGTTCAGGAGTTCAGGCCTATTGAATGTAATAGTTGATGCAAAACTGGTGCAAAATACACATATAAAAATGAATATAAATAAATCAGTAAACAACCCCAAGTGCACAGATCGATTCCCAACGGAATGCTGAATGGGATGATATAATTGCTGTTCTTGCGGAGTGAACCGCTTCAGACCACGTGGAAGGGTGTCTGGACTTTCAACTCTGAAATAGGCGATTTCATTATGCGTGTACTTAGTGCTCGGAATGCCTGGTACCACGGGCGCGGATCCTAGCTACTCTCTTTATCCCTGAGCCAGAGTAGGCGTGGCATTTGAACATGGCACGGAATTGGTTACTCGTGGAATATTCCAGTCTGGGACAACTGTCATCTTGTTCTGTGTTGGACAGAGACACGACAACAATTGTGTCAAGATGAAAATATCTCACCAGAAGCATAGACACCTTCAGGTTAAGTTGAAGCATGCGGCCACGCCTACCCGATCTCAGGGATTTCGAGTATAGTCATCCACTGAGGAGGCGCACTGAGCCTCTGCCTCTCTCACTGGCTGTCTGCTGAAGATACTCCCTTCCTATACGCCCCACACATTCTGCTGACCATTTTCCTCTGTAAATTTATTCGTCTTGAATTTTCACAGCAGTCTCACCTTTCAGGTGCCATCATTGCACTTTCGCTTTTGGCTCTACGCATTCCACCTGAGTTTTCCCTTTCAACGGTATTGTAGTTGTGTCTATTCAACGTTGGTGGAGAGTACGATGCATCTGAAAAAGGTAAAACCAAGCTATACATAGCGTACCATCACGGAAGTAACTACGTTTCATGGAATAATTATAACGGTTAGGTATCGATGTAATAACTGGTAGCCTTAGAAGGACAAAGGGGACTAGTCCACTACGTTGTCGCTGTTCTAAATTAGCGACAATGGAGACAGTATTATATGTTTCCGGGACAATATTTCAATTTTTCCTGGGCACAATTACAAGTTTAGGATAACAGCTGCGCGCGTAAAATAGATTGTATTCGTCCATGGGGCATATTTGGCAAACATTAATATGCCCTGCAAATCGGGCTCAGCTACACAATTTGAAGCACGGCTGTCAGTGGCACAACGTGAATTAAGGCCACAAGGTCTTGGGAGCAAACAAGGAAGCGGGGCGGACCGGACGCAATTCATAAATCTCCCACCAATAGACCTAGGCCCTGGCTGAGAGCGCCTGAGTAGGACCGCGCGATTGAGATGTCGCGTTCACGAAATAAGCCCCTTGTTTTATGGGTAGAGTCGAGGTGCTGTACATAACACCTCGCATACTCACAGTTCTTCTTGGTAAGCTATGTGTGCAGGAAAAATACGATTTATCACTGGCAAAACAGCGCGACGTCCCAAATCTGCTTTAAAAGCTGTAGAAGGCTTGTCCACAAAGAAGCAGCTCGATATGATAGGATTACTTTGAACGATGACCAGGCGTGATATCGGGTAGAGACAAGTGGCGCAGGCGCATAACGCGAGGGACGAGTATTGGACAGTAGCCCAACCAAGTTATACAACGCATTTCAACCCTCACGGCAAAAAGTGACTCAAGAGTCGTCTAGGGGCGTTGCAAACGACGGCTTCGCAGATTGCTTACCCCAAGCTTATATACTCTGATAACCCAGTAATTGTCACGCGACAATCACTGGGAGATGGGCATGCATGGTGGCAGGCCTAAGATGTGCGACTTCTTCGAATGATTCCGTCTGCCCTACAACCGACTAAACTGGTGTTGGCTGACTGTATATACAGTCCTCATCATTGCGGACCGGTGGGGCGTGGCAGTGCGGCTGCTTTGGTGCGGTTTGGCAAAATCGTTCTGCACCAGTTTTTGAAGCGGGCAAGTGCATTACTGTATACATTACTGTATTATTCCTTCGTATACCCGTTTTTCTATATCCACTTTTTTGTCGCATCACCGCTTGCACAGCAAAAAAGGCTAAGAAAGCGGCTTCAACAGTGTGCGCACTCCCTGGTGGCTGGGCACGCCCACCGTCCGCAATGATGAGGTGTAAATGGTAAAGGCTGCGTTCACACTTGGCGAAGCGTCTAACCAGCGATCACTAGCGTTCCAGCAGCGCGGCAGCGATTTTAAATGTATACATACTGATCTAGCGTCTGCCTGCGTCTGCCAGCGTCCACCAGCGAGCAGCAACGTCTTGATGGCTAGGGACGTATAGGTAACGATTCAGCGTCTACCAGCGATTGGGAGTAGAGAGTGAAAATAGAAGGGGTGCAAACAGCTCCGTTAAATTTGTGGCGTGTGCACCTGCACCGTGCTACTATACAATACGTTACATTATGTTGCATTATTCATGCTTTAGCAGTCGTGCGGTGCGGTTGCACAAGTCGCAATTTCACGACGCCTAATCCAGTCGTCTGCTACTCTCCTACTGCCCCATACTTTCTACTCCTGGTCGCTAGAGAACGTTGGCAGACGCTAGATCAATACCTATTCTTGGCGCTGTTTACCGACGGGGGGCATTCTGTCTTTCATAGATTTGCCAACCCATCTAGGTACCCTTTTTTTCGAGTTGACACGTTATTAAGGAATGGGGCAGACGATTTTTTGCTCCAAGCTTCACAAGGTGTGCAACAAGTTTTACCAGAGTGAGCAGATTTGTTAAAGCCGGGAAACAGGGAGCAAATTATAATGGCAAAATGCCCCCCCGCCGTGATAAACAGGCCCCTATTTCTCCTAGGCCCTCGAGTCCACGGGTGGGCCGCTGGTGTTATCGTTGGGTAAGATGAAAACAGACGGCTGTTATCGGATATCTAGCCTTCTAGTCGCTGGACGCGGCCAGGGCGCGTTCGAACGGGCTAGTGTGTCCGCTGGTGGACGCCAAAGTTTTGAAGGCAAGCTGAATGATAGTTTGTGATGGAGGTGCTTTGTGCTTGTTAACTCACCGGATTGTGCTTGCCAATTACGATTTGATAGGGTAAGTGATCGACGATCAGGATAGAATGCATTGGATGATTGGCGATCGGCTTCAGGATAATATCCAGGCGCTGATGAACGGCCACTTGAACCCATACCGGTCTGTTTTTTGAATCGTTGGCGTTCCACATTCTTTGCTACAGAAGTGTTTCCCTGGAAAAGGTCCCCTATACAGAAGATGAACTACCATGTATAGTCTTGCTCCCTGCAAAAGGTGGCGTGTGGGGCAGTAAGTGAGTAGCAGTCTTTCATAGTCTTTCGAGCCAGTTGTTACAGAACGAAGATCGCGTCGTTAGTGAGAAAAGTGTGCCTTGGCAGCTTTCCAATCCACGTCCGGTTACACGAGTAGGGCAACGTTGTTGGCGAATCCCCAACAAGGGGGACGGGGAAGGGGTCGTATTTGCCGCCAGGAGAGGGGGGGTCCTACTTTGGGCTTAGAGAAATTATTTCCGACAGTTTGATTTTTCTTCGCTTCACGAAGCTCGTTAAGGGGGAAGGGGACTGTTTTATCGGTCCTTTTTTACTTTTTGGCCTTCTAAAGAGCTAAGGGGTTGGTTTGACTTGTTGTGATTTTCACTGTGCGCATGTGTACTATATACACCCTCCGCCCCGCCTCCCGTCGTCGGCTCGATCGATGAGGCAGCGACAGAGGGCCGGAGGGGGGAGTCGTAACCAAACCTAAAAGGGGGGGTCGTACGATTGACAAATCCCCAACCAATGATGTGGCCCGCCACGCCTTCTTCGTTCGCAGGGATTATGAAACGAAGATACAGTTGTCACTGCTTTAGTTACTTAGTTATAGTCGATCTAAGAAGAAAATTTTTGATCTACGGTCACACTAACCGTAGGATATTTGCTGCCTAGCGGTGGCCGTCCATGTCGCCCCCGATCACTTTGAGCAGTATCACCTTCTGATTCGGATAGTCTACAAAAAAATCATGCAGTAATGTACTGCTCAATCAGTTATGTTTTTAAACAGAGAATCACCCGTAGATGTGATTGTGCTCCACACCATAAGCAGGCATTGTCGCAGAACCTGAAGACCTCCACAGTGACAGTTCCTCAACGAGCACATCCATACCACCAAGTGGCGCTGTTTGAGCGCTTATGAGCTAAATAATATAAATTAATTCAATATAATATATGATAATATGCAATTAATAATAATATGTAATTTTTAATATAATATATAATAATATGTTATAGTTACCTGGTGCATTTTTTGAAGAATCCTCAAAAAGATTTCATTCTTAAGAAGAGATAACGGGGTGGTCTTCCTGTGTGCTGTACTTTCTATCTAACTGAATTACAGTCTTGTTGGCTGTGGATGCTGTTGCGTTTTGAAAGAGAGGGAAGTGGGTTCACAGGAACTTCCCCATATTAAATCTTACGGGCATTAGGTATTCAATTATGAATCAGTAGCCCATAAGTAACACCATAGTAGAGAAAGAAGCAAAAAAAACCGTCGGGAACACTGTAAACGGAAACCCCTTCGGCGGTTGGAACCCTGGACGAGTTTGTCGGACGTCGGACAAGCCCAACCAGCAGGATTCGACGTGCAACCATTCCTGGCAGCAGCATAGGAAATCGCCCTACGACGCTCCAGGCAACGCTATGTACACACGCAATTCCGCTTGTAAGCCGTTGCCTTGCAGAGTGAAGTAATCGTGGTTGCAATGGTTGCAATACTCTCGCGTCTCTAGCTTCTTTCTCTCGCCGTTCCGAGAGAGGAACGTGCGCGTGTCTTGATATACAGTCGTCATCACTGAGGGCAGTCCGGGAATTTCAGCGGTGGGTTTTGGCTTGGCGCTAGCCCGCAATAACTAGCAGCGAGGGATTGTACCAGAGCCCACGCGCCTCTGACACGCCCCGACTGACTCCAGCGATAACGACCGTAACGAAATCAAATCGTAACTACAATTGCCACACAATTTTGTCGTGCACAACTAGCAGCCAGCAAGCACTACACATACGGTGAATGGTGGTTTGCGTGAGATCTTTTGTGCTATGAGGAACTAACAGCACTCCGCGAAAAGACACTCACACTTTCAACGTATTCCACGGTGAATTTGGATAGTGTGATCTCGTTTCGTACAAGAGAACGATGTAGCGAGGATGGTGCTGTGGCCAGCATCTTATTGAAAAGGCGAACGATTAAAATCTGAAATGGAAGTTTGGGTTATTGGAGAGAATCAGATCTGGCATATACACTAAAAAGCTGCAACTAACAATGCCCACTTGTTGCAACCTACAGTCGTCATCCGGGCACTTGATTAGGGGCAAGGGTCGCGACGCGGCTGCAGCGCGTCACGACCGCGGCGATCAGCTGTTTCCAGCCTAATTTGGCCATTTTCTCCCTAATTTTCACTGCATTTTCTATTTTTTTCAAGATTAGTTGTTTTGATGTCTTTATGAAGTACAGTGGAGTCTTTTTTGTTTCTGTAATAGTGTTTTTGCGATTTTTTTTCAGGTGTTTGTTCAATTGTCTGCTTAACTGTTTAACTGTGCGCAAAAAACAGAGGAATCTCAATCATAATTTATCCTTGTGAAGACAAGGAAAAAATCTCGAGAAAAGCAGCCTTAACAGTGTAAATTAAGGAGAAAATGACTAATTAGGCGGAACAGCTGATCGCCGCGCTTGTGACACGCCGCAACCGCGTCGCGCCCTTGCCGCCCTAATCAAGTAGCCGGATGACGACTGCAAGCTCTCCGGATCTGTTTCATCTTCACTTGGCTGTCTTCTGGTTAAAAATTATATGAACTTGCTCGGTTATTACCAACTAGTACACATTGGTTCGGCAGAAATGTTTGCTGTGTTCAAGGTAATAAGTTAGATCTAACTTAAATTAGGTACCCCATTTGCTTCTCTTCATTCTCACTTTCGAACATCCAGTTCCATAACAGAAAGTGGCTGGATAGAGGCGCTAAGGCGGAAATTGCATAAGAGGCTCCACCCGAGCGCAACTGACTCCGCCTCTATTGTTTTGCTCCTTTGCATGTTCACTCGCCCTTCCCTAGCCCTACCCAACTACTCCCAACCAGTCCTCACCTTATTCTCTCTTGGAATCAAATGCAAAAGGGAAGGGTCCTATCCTCGTTTTCCCTTTCAGGGGTAGGCAACTGAACTTGTGCACTTCTTTTTCAACGGCTACCTACGACTTGTAATAGCGAGATCTGCCTTTAAAGACCAAAGACCTTTTAGGTTGATAACTAGGTAATATACCTGTATATGAAGTTTATTAGTATGGAGGCCATGCTTCAGTTGAGCAACAAATAGGGTGAATCGAAGATAATCCCGACTTCTCGCTGTCAACGCTGTCAATGCCCTCATCAGAATAACGAATCCTTGAGGTTGGTCCAACAATAGCAGGAGAATCTGTAAACAGCGGGTTAGATCAAACTCGTTGAAGTTGATGTTTGTATAAAGGGGTGTTCACCTCAAGAGCGTAACACTTCGAGTCCAGTTGTGGGCTGTTGACTGAGAAAAGAACAGCATCCAAGCCATTGGTGGAATCTAGAAACCGACGCCAAGCGCTGTCCTGGAAATGAGCGCTAATTTCATTCTGCGGTATGCTTTTTGAAAAAGATCGATCTCGATTTCATAACTTACTCATAATAATAAAGAATAAAGGATAAAGAATTCGCTGTTCGTGAACCCTTTTGGGATACGCCACGCATTATACTTCCATTCGGAATCCTAGTGGTTTACTGAATGCAATATGCCCCATACAATGACTTACGGGGCCCATCCGATAAAATCAGTGTTGTTATCATCCCTGACGAATCCGATAAAGTTTGCCTTGCTCGCACGAAGGCTTGAATGGCCTTGGCATGAGCCGAAATGACTCCGAGAGCGCGAGCGAAGGTTCAAACTTTTCGGGTCATTTGGGTTGCATAGCGCACTTACAGCCCACTTGAACTCGTAACAGTGATAAAATCTCAAGGATGCGCTCATACTTTGCGGCAGCGTCCACCAGCGTCTACCAGCGTCCACTAGCGACCACTAGCGTCCTGAGCGTCCGGCAGCGTCAGCGACTAGAAAAATACAAGTGTCTGCCAGCGTCTACCAACGTGTGCCAGCGTCCTGCCAGCGTCTGCCAGTGTCCACTAGCGTTCACCAGCGGTCGGAAGTAGAGAGCATGGGGAAGTAGGAGGGTAGCAGAACAGCTGGATTAGGCGTCGCGAAATTGCGGCGTGTGCAACTGCACCGTACAATTACACTACACCTTACATTAAGTTATAATTCTGTGCTTCACCAGTTGTGCGGTGCAATTGCACACGCTGCTATATTTCGACGCCTAATCCAGCTAACTGCTCCCCTCCTAGGGGGCTCCTACTTCCGGTCGCTGTTGGACGCAGGTGGACGCAGGCACTGCTGACAGACGCTAGATCGATGCCTATACTTTCCTAGCCGTCGACACTCTGGCAGACGCTGGCAGACCTAGATTGATATCTATACTTCCCAGTCGCTTACGCTGCCGGATGTCCGGAAGGCTAGTGGCCGCTGGTGGACGCTGCCGCAAAGTATGAACGCAGCCTAACTTACAGAACAATGCACTGGTAATAAAAGCAGCGAGCATGAGGACTATGTGAAAACAACTATGTGGACAGGCGTCTCCTGCGTGTGTAGTGTGGCACCACTCTGGCCCACGTCGCAGCGAGAGTTCGTTTACAAAAAAGTTTGGGTTACTAATAATTAGAATAATTGGCATATGAAAAGTATAACAAGATTTGCAAAAGTTGAAAATACATAGGATGTTCACTGATAAGTTTCTCACCGACTTCTCCAGCAGTATTTTCAGGCATTCAATACAATCCGCTTCGGCAACCTGAAAAGAAGGTTCGTTGATCATGGAAAGGATAATCTCCCGAGATGCTTGTCTTGTTGAAGGCAGTTGGCACGATGAATCCTTAAGACGAGCAGGATTAATACGCCTGGCAGGACGGAATTCCGCGACCCTGAGCAGGCGCTGCGTAGCGCCTTTTCCAAGGAAGGTACCCTTATAAGGCCTATCAAGCTGCAACATACCGACCCGGACGCCCACCGCGCCCGCCCGCCCACAAATGGACGACCGTACCTGATGCTCGTATTGCTTCATTTGCAAGTAAAATATGAAGCGAAGGGATTGATATGAAGCGGCCGCGGTGCTGCATGGATATATGAGTACATACGTGCAGCCGTACCTACCGTAGCGGTTCACTGGCAAGATGCCTACGGGAAACTCGTCCGAAATTGCTGTTTCAGATCATCGAGAACGAAGGCTTTTCTTGCAAATTTTTGACCTTTTCTCTTCGTTTTTTCGCCTTTTTCTCCACTACATACACCCTGCTAGCATTTTAGACCAAGAACCAAATTATCGTGTCATATGCCTCTGAAGGCGATTATCTTCCCTCGAAGCTTCCCCTCGTTCCGTAAAAATGCTCGGTTTACAACCGTAGAACTAGTACTTCATTCAGTACTTGAAAAATTACACGAGGCGTACCGCAAGCATAGGTGTTAAGCGCATGGCCACCCAATGGGCCCATGTCGCACCGCGTATCCCCTACTATTGTGATAGCGTCGTTGTGCTCCCCGTCTACTTCTGGTTTCTCTCCTTTGCTTTTCTGTTTATCGTGGCCTCCAGCACCATGCAGTTGTTTTCACCACCTCGTTCTTGTAAATCACGATGGAACGCAAAAAGAAGGGCTTTACTGAGAACAGTAATGTAATAATATCTTCGCAATCTCAGTGCTGATGCTAAGCAATGTTGAAAGGTGAACTTTTGAAGGTCTCGAATAGCAACGCTCGGAGGCAGAACTGCTTTTCAATGGTACACTCCACATCCTAGAAAGTGACAAGGCTTGGCAGCGTACTTCATTTGAACGCAATCGAGCGACAACGCTTTCGCTGGGGTACTGCTGTTTTGACACACTGTAATCACGTATTCGTCGGGCACAAAAGAGGATGACCGATCTCCCCCAAATTGGAATATCCGCGAAAAATGCATACTACGTGGTATTCACATGAAGTACGCAGCTCCGCCTTCCCCATATCCGGCATGTAGAGTGTAGGCAACATCGCAGTGAAGTTAGTCAGTGAAACTCTTACAGCTGCTTTCCTTTTCCGATTGGTATTCGTATTGTTCCTGGATAGAAGGTTGGAAATCTTTGACGGTGCTGGTTGATTAGAGTTGACGATTCCTTGAAGGACGATAACAACCTTACTGAGCAGTTCGACTCCATTCAACGGTCTTGCAATGAATTCTTGGCAAAAGTGCTGCGACCTGAATGAGTCGTACTGTGAGGGCTTTCAAATTTGTTCTCCTATAACGAAGTGGAGGTACGTTTAACACAACAGTTCAGGATTAACCACTTAAGGACACATGGTACGACCACACATAGTTTGGGTGTGCGTGACTATCAGCCCCCAGCTGTCGAAGCGTAGCGGTTTCCCCGTCCTAACATGCGCAGGAATGGAGATACAGGACCGTGAAACACGCTAATTCCTCCATGCTCCGCCCAATGCCTTTTGCGGCGCAGACTCCCGTTTATGCTAACAGCCGTCCGCGCGGCGCGTGTCGCGCGCAGCGCTCTTGGCACTTTGCCAAGTCCTGTAATTGCGCTTTGGAATACAAGTAAAACGCAATTTCCTGATGCGGATAACATTTTAGGTGCTGCAAAATAAGAACCGAAGATGATGACGAGGGCTAGAACTCAAGAGCAACTGTGCTGCTTCTGCAATATCCCTCGGAGGCCGCGCATTTCCACGAAACATGAAAATAAAAACGGCCTAAGCGTCCCACTCGTTAGTTTAAAGTATTTCTATGGCTTTGGAGCCGAATCGCGCCGAATCGCAGAAATTTACACGCGATTTCAATTAATTTGCATTTCCTTGGTTTTCCTTTTTCAATTTTGTTTTATTTACATCTACATTCGTTGTTCTTCATTTCTAGCCTTTGTCATCTTCATCACCTTCTATTCGGACTTTGCAGCATGAGCAACACCTCAAATGTTATCCGCATCAGGAAATTGCGTTTTACTTGTATTCCAAAGCGCAATTACAGGACTTGGCAAAGTGCCAAGAGCGCTGCGCGCGACACGCGCCGCGCGGATGGCTGTTAGAACCGGATTGGGGATCGGGAGTCTGCGCCGCAAGTTGCATTTTAGGCGGAGCATGGAGGAATTAGCGTGTTTCACGGTCCTGTATCTCCATTCCTGCGCATGTTAGGACGGGGAAACCGCTACGCTTCGACAGCTGGGGGCTGATAGTCACGCACACCCAAACTATGTGTGATGTGTCTTAAAGGCGTGGTCCGCGATCAGGTATAGAAGTTGAAAATATGGCGTCGGGAGGGTAGTGTGGTCCGCGACGAACAACCTTGTACCGGTTTCGCGGCAAAAAATTGTAAGGGAGGGGCGCTATAGCGCAATATAGGTTCAGTGACGCCTCCTTAATTCCAGTGACTCCGCCTCCAGACTCTGCCTCCAAGGCCCGCCTTTCAGTAAAAACGAAAGCTGCAGGACGAAAAAGCATGAAAATCGTCACTACCATCGTAGAGTTCTTAGGGGAATCAGCTGTGCGGATGAGGGCGTAGTGTTGAAGATGGAGTTAATTGGGCACGTACAAACTGGGATCAAAATGGGGTTCTATCTAGGGCAGTTGGCATGTTTTTTTCTGCTTTTTTTCTTCACTATCGAGTTACTCAGCACCTTGTCGTCTATATGCGAACCCTAATCCACTATCTGTGATGGCGAATGATCGCGGGTTTTGCCTTTAAGAGTTCAAGTTGAAGCTGTGGTATGTAACTTTTTAGTTCCGCTATTATGCTGTTCAAGCATGATGTTGTACAATTTCAACACTTCAAAGTGAGCTAGTGAGACAAATGTGAGACATTAGACAAACGAAAAACCAGCCGATGCTTGTTCAGGGATAAAGACGGACGTTTCCGGTCTGCGGCAGCAGCTAGTTTGCAAACAAACGCGGTAAAGACGAGGAATTTTTGTTCATGAGCCTCTTACCTTGAATTTTCCACAAGAATCTGATCCTTTAAGCTAAGCAATGTAAAGCCAGCATCAGATAGCGGAGTACCATTCGTTGCGGCTGAAAGTGAATGAAGAGTGAGAACGAGTACGAGGAAGATCGGGCATGAAATTAGGTCACTGCCGTGACCAGATAGAATAGGTCAAAAAAAGAAATCGATTTCCCGATGTCACATGAAGATCTTCAAGCTATGGGGTCAGGGCACGTCATCGTTGGGATTTCCCAAAGGGAGGTCGTATTTGGTCCGAGAAAATTTTTTTTGATAGTTGAGTTTTCTTGTTTCACGGACGCTATGAGAGGGAGGGGGTTTT